CTGTAGAATTTCTGAGAAAATGTTGGAGACGGAAAAAAGACAAAACCTGAATTATAAGTCCCCTTTTCAGGCTGCGCCTGAACGGGGACTAATTACACTTTGTGCACCATATTTGGATATACAAACAAATTTTGGAACTCTGCAAATGGACATAATATCCCATTGGCTTCAGGTATTAATCAAAAATTTTAAAAATCATATGCAAAAAATAAAATGGGTTCTTTTTATGATATAGAAAAATGAAAGCCAATAAATTGTCTAACTTACCGTTTCATTTCCAGACTGTGCTCTAGTTCCATATGTTGTACATGTTACAGAGTTTAAACTATCAACATCCAAATTGTCTAACTTACCGTTTCATTTCCAGACTGTGCTCTAGTTCCATATGTTGTACATGTTACAGAGTTTAAACTATCAACATCCAAATTGTCTAACTTACCGTTTCATTTCCAGACTGTGCTCTAGTTCCATATGTTGTACATGTTACAGAGTTTAAACTATCAACATCCAAATTGTCTAACTTACCGTTTCATTTCCAGACTGTGCTCTAGTTCCATATGTTGTACATGTTACAGAGTTTAAACTATCAACATCCAAATTGTCTAACTTACCGTTTCATTTCCAGACTGTGCTCTAGTTCCATATGTTGTACATGTTACAGAGTTTAAACTATCAACATCCAAATTGTCTAACTTACCGTTTCATTTCCAGACTGTGCTCTAGTTCCATATGTTGTACATGTTACAGAGTTTAAACTATCAACATCCAAATTGAACTGCACACCATCAAACTTTGAGCATTCATTCTGTGTTGTCACTAAAAACATCCATTGTTTGTAGTTTTCAAAGGTAAGAGATTTGAAAATTCCCATTTGTCCTGGTCGCTGCGAGTCACCAATTTGTATACTAATACTGTCAATAGCATATTCCTGTCAATCATAATAAAATATGATGAAAAATGTTTTATTAAAGTCACAATGAGGGTTGCCCCCTAGAAACTATTGCAATTTGATGTAAGAGTATTTGTTTTATTAAAGTCACAATGAGGGTTGCCCCCTAGAAACTATTGCAATTTGATGTAAGAGTATTTGTTTTATTAAAGTCACAATGAGGGTTGCCTCCTAGAAACAATTGCAATTTGATGTAAGAGTATTTGTTTTATTAAAGTCACAATGAGGGTTGTTTCATTAGAGGCTCATCTCTCATAGACTCAAACATAAAACAACAATTTTATTTATTATATGATGGGTACTATGTAAGCTGAAAAGATATTTAAACAAGCAGCCTCTCGGCTGAGATAGCTCCGTTGTTAGCAATGCACATTTCAATTAAAGAACAGAAGATATCATTAGAAAATGAACACTATGCATAGTATCAATGCAATGGGACTTGCTGTTTTCAACAAGAATTCAAAAATATCATTTTTCACCATAAATGATTGTGGTTTTTAACAAGAAGAAAATATCACTTTTTAACAAAAATGACAAAAATATTCACCAAAATTAGAGAATTAAAGATATCATTACAAAATGAATAAATCTGAGAGAGGTCCACATGTAGTACCTATATATGTAATATCAAAGCAATTGGACTTGCGGTTTTTAACAAGAAGTTGAAAATATCACTTTTTACCAAAAATGACAAAAATATTCACCAAAATTAGAGAATTGACGATATCATTACAAAATGAACAAATCTGAGAGAGGTCCACATGTAGTACCTATATATGTAATATCAAAGCAATTGGACTTGCGGTTTTTAACAAGAAGTCGAAAATATCACTTTTTACCAAAAATGACAAAAATATTCACCAAAATTAGAGAACTAAAGATATCATTACAAAATGAACAAATCTGAGAGAGGTCTACCCAAGGTACATATACACCAAGTATCAAAGCATTCAGGCTTGTAGTTTTCAAGAAGAAGTCGAAAAAGTAAAACATTGACACGGACGACGGACGCCAGACGACGAACGACGGAAAATCACTCATATGATAAGCTACGCTCGACAAAGTCGACAGCGGAGCTAAAAAATTTAAATACATCAATTGACTAACTAAACCAATTTTAAATGAATTTATAATTTTTAATAAACTGGTCAATTATTTCACAACATTTTATTGAAAAAATAATTCAGCATAGTATTTTTGAAAAATATTTGAAAACTAAAGCATAATATTACATAAATTAATTCAACAAATATTATTCAGTAAATTGATTTAACTAATATATTACTATTATTATCATTATTATTGAAAAAATTAACAAATATGATAATTCAAAAGAAGTGTTTTATTACTCATCTCAATGCATATTATTGGGAGTGGCTAACTGGTATATAGCAGTCCCACCCAGGATTGCCTGCTCTACAGGTAAAGGTCACAAGGTTAGCTATTTTAAACTTGTCTATGATGAGTATATGTTGTGTTGGGTGAGTAAAATTAAAAATAAATTTTGAATTAAAATTATGAATAATGAACCTTATAGAGACAATAGAGGTTAATACATGATAAAGTATATCAATTAAAAAATGTACGGCTTGTCCGACCCAAACCAACAAAACACAATAAAAAAAAAAAAACATGCATGTATAATAGTGTAAATTTGGCTGTTTATTAAATAGATTTGTAATAACACAAATACAAAAATGATGTAATATTATCACCTCAACACGTACTGTTATATTTTTACTTTCATAATACTAATCCTTACCTGTCCTAGCTCCAAGGTGATTTTGGAATCCGGAAACACCATATTTAACTCAGTAAGTTTGAGTTTCGATGGTGCTCTGCCACCATGTGTTTGGATCACCATCGACAATGTACTCCGGTGGATGAGCCAACTCAGGAACATTTTGGTCGCACACTTCTTCCGTCCGTTCATTCTGAGGCTTACGAGCTTCACTGTGACCAAAGTAATCCTCTGGTGTCGCACCGCATGTAATTGAGGCTACAATTGGCTTGTTTAAAGCAACGTTTACCGAAGTTTGCTGTCCGATAGTCAGGAATGGAAGCAGGCCGAGGAACAAACAAAGCGATAGCGACATTTTGGTCGACGAAAGCGCAACAGCTGCCTGGGCGGTGATCGTGATAATATCGCGATGTCCCGGGTAAAAATCAGATGCAAACAAAAATTCTGTGAACGTATCGCTGTCTATAACACTTATTTTAACTGACAAACCGTCCTTGCTCGTTTAGTCGGATTCAAATATTACACAGTTATCCTGGCCGCTCACATTTAGTAGAATTACTTTCACTCCATTGTTGTTTGCATTGCTAATATTTTTTTTGCGGGTGCGAACGGGCTCATACAAATAGCGCCCTCAACAAACCAACTAGAAAACACCAGTTTTCGATAATAATAAATAATGTTTATTCAACCTTTGTATCGGCAGCATGAAAACAGTAATACATATATTTAAATTACATTTATCATTTCTTTTCTATATTGCCATAAATCAGTTACATATTTCCTAATTAAAGCTGATGAGGTATTTCCCACATTTTCATTTATGTTCCATAGTGTATCACCAAAAAGGAAATTGAACCTATAATTCAACCCCCCTGAAAGAAAACTATTCATTAGTGATGAAGATTCAACATTGTTTCTTAGTGAGGTTTCTAATGCTAAATAAAATTCCTTTCTAATATGATTAGCATTCGATCTCGCATTCTCATTCTCACCGCTAGAGTTTATTTCCGCTTCGAGTCTCAACGAAGTACAAGTAGGCATGCCGTAAAAGAGGCCGAAGCCGTGGCGTACGACGATGCGATCGCGGGGCGATTTTTATCGTACAAAAAACAACTAACCAACGAAATGTGGGTGATTATCGCCAGAATCAACACAACATTCGTAAATAATGTAAACACAAATTCCTATTTCTAACTCTCGTTACCAAGTGCAATTCCCCGGAGTTAATTTGTAAAGAGATGTTGCTGTTAATTAAGGAATCAATTTTGCTCGTGATATGTGGATTAACTGTTTTTTACTTACTTTACTTACTTACTTTTTACCTTTTCTTTTATTACTTTCAGCCAAAAATGAATTTGTTATTTCATTACGGCGTAATAAGAATTTATTATAATTATAATAGTTTTTTTTTTGCTTTTCATTGAAAATTGGGTGTGACGTATGACCCCGGGGGATTCACTCTATATGCTGTTACTACCCCATATGCGTTCCAAATTTAGCGGGAAAGCGGGGCGTTTTTCACCTTCTAGAGCGAGCCCGCGCGGGAGGCAAATAGGCCCCTTTTAAAATGCTAATGTCTGCAATATGCCCCCAGAAATAAACTCACAGGGTTGCTGCGCCCGCTGTAGGCCCTCTCTTGTAACAACCACTCTCATACACCGCCCTAGGCCCCGAATTGGCGGACCCATAACCCCGACTAGGCCGCAAACGTCCGCCTGAACTTTCCCACCGGGACTTGCCCGCCACTTTCAACACGAGCAAACGGAGAAGGCTTATTGTAATTGAAGAAACGAAACGAAACAGGATAACACACTTAATAAAAATTGAACTGTATTCAGTAAATATGGGTTTTATATCCTCAATATTCACAAAATATATGTCGAAAATAATAATATGAGAGAACCCCACACCCTCCCCGTGGCTTTCGTTGCGTATGGAAGTTATTTTCACGAGTGATGCGGTGTATCCTGCGGCCGTACTTTCACGAGCGAAGCGCATCTCGAGTAGAAGACGCCGAACTGCAGCGTCAATGGACGAAAATGGTTTACAAAATAAAAATAGTTCGGTAGCCAATGAAAATACCATGTTCCTTTGCATATCGACCGTGAAAATACCGAAAACATTATTGCATGGGTGATATGCAAATTAGTTTGGGCCAAAATAAGTGACTGCCTAAAAGTAATATTACTGTTGTTCAAATTTCATTTCACTCGGCAAGTATATTCATGTACCCCAAGGGGAAAATATCGTACTTCTAAATATTGTTTATTCCGAAAAACTGTACTCCTGAAGGGACTACTTTGTTTGCTCTCAGACCTCATTTGCATATGGGTTGTGGAAATACCGATTTTGATTTCAGGGACGAATCAAAATAAACTGCAGTACATATG